ACAGGGTTTCGTGTCTTTGCTCGCACAGCTCACACTAAATATCCCGGTTGCAAATTGTGGCCGCCTCCCGATGTATAGCCACCACGAAGACAAGTCAGCAATCATTATTTTTAATATTTAAAGCGCTGTTAAGCGCCTCTTTGGAAAGAGAGAGATGATCATTCTAATAGTTTTTTTGACGCTGTCGGTTGACCATGATATCGTACAAGCTCAAGCTGGGAAAAGTGGTCACAACCATTTTACCTATCGGTACATGAAGATTTGTCTATAGCTGCATTATTCAATGATACACAGGAAAGAACTGCTTGCCCTTGTTCTTGTAACTCTGGTTTGTGCATCCGATGAATAAGCATTCCGACATAATCTGTGGTTTTGCATTGGTTGGTAGAACTTAACCTCGTGACGGTAAAGGCCACGATATATATGATTTGAGGCGCAAGAAGTCGGTGGACAGGACAAGTTACATCTGCTGTGGCGCCACTAGTATAACAACATACATAGTCGGATATTTGTGTTTGACACAAACGATGGCGATCGTGTGAATGTAAAACAAGGTTTAGCTGCTCAGCATGCTGAACGAGTAAATATTGCACCGTATGCTGATTGAAGAAGAGCTGAGGGACTCAGTGTTGCTGATATTCTAAACAAGCATGGTCTTTATAGCGCCATAGACGCGGCTTAAGTGAGGGACAAGCTGCAATTACACAATTTAAGCCAGCATTTTTTTAAAAGTTAATCGTAACACGGCGAGTGATCGGCTGTTTGAATGTATAGTTTGACTCTTGGTACCCCCAAAAGACGCAGCTGGCAATTGCTCTATGGCGCTCTTATGCGCTACTGCCATGCCCCTCCGGAGTGAAAATGTGGGCACAATGTTATTGTTAACGGAGAAGACGGGAGGCCTCAGCCGTGTATGAGTGCTCTTATTGTTGTGAAATGTAATCTAGTGTTCATTGCTTGGTGTCACAATGTGCGTACGTTTCCACTACTTCGAAAATCAATTGTGGATTGGAGTGAGCTGTAGTGAAGGCGAAATATAAAGAAGATGCAGTAGCACGGCATAAGATTGACCGCTTTGCTAAACGATTAACTGTTCTAGTTTTGGGATCTTGCGATGACACGTAAGTATCTGACTGAAAGATTTTTTACACGCTATCAGACCCGATAATACCGAAAGTCAATCAAGGAAATTGATCAGTACACTTTATAATGTTGCGTCGTGTATAATGTTGGAAATGTAGATAGAAACATTGAACCACGATATTCACATGAAACACATGGTGGTTTTACTGGGCAGTGACTTGGGTACGGTGCAGATTTTCGATGGGTACAGTCCAGATAAATATGAACACATAAATGAAAATTTGTCATTTTCACTATTTATTTTACTATTTATCACACCATAACCATTTATTGACTAAATAGGGGTTACCCACACCATCACAAGCTCTTGCCAAACAATAGTAGGGACTTCAAAAGCCGCAAAAGAGATGCAAAGTCGGAAGGTAGCAGCTAATTTGTTTACTTTTTCACACGTACTTTTCTGCCTTCTGCACATTCGGTAGCCGACCCCAATTTGCAGTCCAAGAGTCAACCGTTTCACATCTTTTTGATTATTGTAACGAGGTGCTTCCTTTACATGATACTTTCCATTGGTTAAATATCAAGCATACATATGTTGGAAGGACAGACATCACATTCTCGGATATTAGTTCAGCAGTTAATATAATGATGCAGAAGTAATACACTATTCATTGGTATATACGGAGTAGTGATATCAAGCAGGCCTCGGCAAGGTAAGGTAAAAGATGATTTGGTAAATAGATTTGGTCTACCTTTGCTTTACCAAAAACTTCACCTTGTTGATCTGTGGCAACCTTTGTCGTTACCTTACTCTACTCTTTAACATCGGTATTCACTCGATGAACAAGCAAGTGCATGATTGATGAAATCCATAACATTGCAGGAATATCATTGATACGAAGAGTTCGTCGGCCTATCACAAAACGTTGCGTGAATGCAATGGCGTATGATCATTGTATTGAGCATATACTATCGAAGCATAATTATTGTATTGAGCATATAGTTACAATACATAATCATGCTTAGATATATTAGAAAATAATATTAAAAAGTAATTACTTACAGGAGATTGTCTGTGCATGAACCAATTCTACATTTTATCATTTCATTTTTTTGATACCTTCCTCTGCACGACACGTGTTCGTGAAGTTTTGACACATATACTTACTCTGTGTTAAGTGCAAGCAGATTGTACTGTGATAGTACAAGTGAAAATTACCCTATTACAATTATGTTAAGATTAAGAACAGGGCATCTGTATCTTTGGTGATTTAAATTTGGGATGACAATCTGAGCTGGGCACTGCGTGCCCTTTGGCGCTTACCACACTAGACCTGAGTGGCAACGAATACAAGAACGAAGATTAAGACAAGACAATAAATCTGAGAAGGAGTGTATCATCTGTTAAATAAAACCTTCATGACGTATTTGTTGGCTAAACCGTGTGGGTTTCAATTTGAAATTGAACTGACGACCCGCAAAGACGTTCAATGTGTTGAGTTTGTCTTTTTTCATTGGAGGCACCATTTTATAGCTTAATGACGATATCAGTTAGCTGATCCATGGTAAATTCAAAGTTGAAATGCAATACCCATTACAGGTAGTTTGCGATGTCACCTAATTTGGATGTTTTTGTGACACTTTAAGCGATGATACAAGAAGGTAAGTACGCCACATGAAACCACTACAGATAAGACGGAAGAGAAAAAAATATTTGTACCTTGACTTGGTCGGATTGTAGTGTCGTTGAAAATGCTTGTTAGAGTGGTGACAGACGAGAGCATTTGTCATTAAGATCTTCACATTGCTTTTTACATCGCATGCACAAGTTCAAATAAACCGCCAATTTTTATAGGTTGTATTACAACTGAGCCAGTTGGCGGTCAAACAAGCTGCACTGACCGTGGTTATCGGCGACTCTAATTAGTGACGGCGACCATTACATGTAGAAGATCGGCAGTGCACGCGATGGCGTTAGACAAAGCGCTAGCCGCGCTCGGGAAACTTTCGATCAGATTTATTGTCGCACTCGAGGACTTTTGTGATCGAAAATTTCGGATGGGCGTTTAGAGAGCAAGGTGGCAGGATCCAAAATTAGCCGAAATAATCAAGCATCTTTTATGTGGCGTTGTGGTTAGGGGGGAGATGAGATCCCAAAATTTATAGTGTACTCATTCTCGAATAAAAGTTCCGAATTATGTTTCTTTGTCTACTTACATTGGATTCAGAAGACACCACCCTGTTAATAATGATGTTCAGCAAGGAGATTAAGGTGTGGAGCGCTATAACGTGGGACAGACCACAAAGGCAATACATGGTATGGCAGAATGCAAAGACGGTAACACCCGCAGGTGAAGATATTCACCTTGCTTAAAGCCCAACGGAATACACCGGGTGAAATATTAGCCGGACATTCGGTAACTCAAGCTTTCGTTACACCCTTTGATCAAAAAGGACTGCAACACGGTCTTGGTAGTGGTTTCTTTTGTCAGGAAAAGGAAACCGTCTAAGAAGTTGATTTTTCGGACCACGCGTGACATTAGTGTGGCTGCAGGACCTCAATGTTGACTTCCTCGGATAAATTTTTCTAAAAAATTGCAAGCGTTTAACTGTCGGCAAGTCGAGACTTGGTGGTCAAACGCCAAACCATGGAGATTGCAATACAAAGGTTGGTGAAAACTTTAGTACACTGATCACACAATATAGAGTAAGTAACATTAGAAGAGGAAGCTGTATCCCGAGGAATGCTCCACATTTAATAAAATTGGCAGTGGCAGCGAAATAACACTATTACTTGAGCCAAGTCAAACTTCAGAGTCGCGGGTCGACGTGTGTACGTCAACTCGGTAGCAGTGGCCTGCTGCTGTCTCAACAGTTCAAACTGTCGAGCATCGTGTTTCCTCAACAGCTTTATCTGTTAGTAACATTGTTATTTCAGCAAGTTTACCTTTCTTTGCTTGACGTCAAGTTCATTCTGAATGAACTTAGTGATGGTGAAGTGTTGTCCGTCGGGCCCCAGGGCGGACAGCATTGCGCAAACGGCTTCTTGCCATATCGTCAAACTCTAACTTTCGACGGCATCCCATTCAATCTGACTCAAAGGTGAGTAGCTCCAATGCATGAGTTAAAAGCTCATTGCACAGTATACGTTCTTAATCGCTCAATGGATCACGAAGCGCTACCAGGTGTAACAGGGCCTACCTTATATAGCTAACTGAATAAACCTTGCACTGCTGACAGTGCAAGGGTGTGTGCGTCATACTACCTCACGTACACGTACATGCAGAGGAAAATTGCTTCACGGAGTAACACAATTTAGTAAAGGTAAAAAGTAGAACCGTATTTCGTACTGTCAGTCCTTTTATCGGATTCCTAACTGACTTCATTTCACTATGCCTGCATACAAACATGTATTGTAACTATCTGCCGACCACTCAATGCGTGCTTCGGTCGTGGCTAGACTTTATTGGATGATATCTTGGTCCTATATCAACCAATGAGCTGTGTGTTACATCTGCGAAGCCAGGATATCTAATGCGATAATTTTGTGAGTATATCAAGGTTGTGATAGCACAATTTGCGTACTTGAAAACTACCTTTTGTAAATTAACATGTAACGGAGACACCCCGGTACAAGGCTCACCACGTGAGCAGTCTAAAATACTTGATAGCATTGAGTGTCCAATATGCCTACTTCGCCCAATCCAAGATAGGACAGGTGCCTAATTTGTAGAGGGCTGCTTATCCGTCACTTTTAAAACAGCACTCATCAGCTTAAATACCGAATAAGCACAACAACTCGAACAGAAAACAGGATAACATTTGTGGGCATCAAAAAGCGCATAGCGACATCGACCCCCACCAGCACTTTCGAGCCAGGAGGTCCTTCGTGCTCGACCCGCCGCCACTTTCCTTCCATGGCTCTCCAAGGCAACGTTGCTCTCGTAACGCGTCTGCAGGACGCAGCGTCCGCTGTGCAGCAAATCAAGCAGTCGAACCCGCAGGTGGCAGACGTGACGATTCTATCTGTAGCCACGGACTCGGCCGTCGCGCAGACTGGAGCCAGCTCTTGGGCCGAGAATGAGAACGCGTTTGACGCTGTCGTGTCGTTCAACGACCAGATCGAGCAGCTAAGTGCGGAGCTAAGTGCGCTTCTGCCGCTACTGAAGGCTGATGGCGTGCTAGAGCTGCACGTGGAAGCCAATGTGAACGAAGATATTGACGAGAAGAAGAACGCTGTCTTAATGGCGCTGATGATGGGCGGCTTTGTCGACACATCGTTCGTCCCGATCGCTGGTAGTGTGGTGTACCCAGACTTGGTCGACGTCGTCTGCTGTGTAGCCAAGAAGCAGTCGCTTGAGAGCGCTGTGATGCCACTAGTGAAGAAGACAACGACACCTGCTCTTTTGGTCAAGAAGTGGACGGTGCTGGCCGACGATTTCGGCCAAGACAATGAGGATGACATGGTTGACGAAGACACTTTGCTGGACGATACGGAGGAGGTGTTGCAGGCGGCCAAAGCCGAGTGTGGTGAAGTCGGAGGAGCAAAGAAGCGCGCGTGCAAGAACTGTACTTGCGGGTACGCAGCGTCCTTGTTGTGTTTTACTTTCTCTTTCGGCATGAGGGTACTCGTGTGTGCATCTTGACAAGTGAGCTCACACTTTTTGGCAACGGGTAGACTCAAAGATGGAGATGACAAGCCAGTGATGTCGGAGAAGGACTTGAACCAGCTCGTGTCTGGATGTGGAAATGTAAGATTGGTGGATGCCTCCTTCTTATCTTTTAGCTCGATGTTGTAACCGAGTGCGTCTGTTGTTTTTCTTGCGTCATAGTGCTTCAAAGGAGACGCTTTCCGGTGCGGTAGCTGTCCATTTTTGGGCAAGCCTGCCTTTAAACCTGGCATGGAGAAGGTGCTGCTGAACCTCGACGACGCAGATGATATATAAGTGTACGTGGCCCGATCGAAACATCCACCAGGCTGAAGGCTAGACAGCGGTCGATGAAGGGTGATGCAGGAAGCAGACCGACACAGCCTGATACGAGAAACGCTGAAGGAGTGAGCTGTGGTCGGCTGAGGACTAGACAACTTCCTAATGCAGCCTGACACAACAAGACTGCTTTTTCATTGCACTGTTACATTCTCCTTCGACGCCAAACATTTAAGGTAGCTGCAAACACGTGACAGCATTCGTAACGCAGTTCTGTTGTCGGGATCGTCTACCGCATGTCAACCAGTTGCGCTGTCATCTGCTTCATCCACTGGCACTCGAATGCGTCCGAGTAAATCTCGATCCGGCTTGGATGCGTGTGAAACCCTGTCAGGCTGCAGTTTTGAATCAGCTGCAACCCATTTGGCTCTGTCAGCCGAAACACTCCAACACTGAGGCAAAATGCGCATATCGTTAGCACATCCCGCTTGACTCAAATGAGAAACATATGGAGTACTTACTTCTTGTGCGGATCGCTCGGTGCAACAACAATAGCGATGGCCTAGAAAAGTGCGATGACAAAAAGTAGTTGTGAGCGGTTCATGAAATGCACAATCTGCACAGCAGGCCAACCGAATGCACCTCAGGCAAAATCGATTGGAAGCCACACTGAGTGTGAACATCAACCGACGACAAAAAGCAGTTCTGCTTCGGATGCGTCTAGTCAGAAGCAAATCCAGAAACAAGCGGCATCGGCGTGCATAGAGTGAAAACAAGACCAGCTCCATATTCAAGCACATCACAAGGCTTACGTGGATCCAGCCGAGCGTTAGCAGCTCGTTACTGAAGCAAAAATCGTATAGATCCTCTTCGTTCGTCATCGTGCACATGTCCGACGATCCCTTGTCACCATATGCATAAGCCAGGTCAGACACGAAACGAATGACATACGACTTGGCACCCACGCACTTCTTGTTTCGGGATGATCAGTGTAGTAATAACCAGTCTCTGATCACGCTGAAAAGTAAATAGCAGTTAGCGACACCATGCTACACCAAGTCGCGCACCAAGCAATTTACCAATATTCCAGCCAAGATACCACATGTCTCGATCCCGCAGGGTGGCTTGTTCGTATTTGGCGCAGCTATCGATATGAACTGAGAAATGACTCCTGCTGGAATCTCCAGCGTGCGGATCTTTCCACTGCTCAGTCACGTTAGAGCATCCATTTTTTTGTAGCAAATTACGCACTACCAATAACGCAAACCCACCTGGTCAAGTTTGCAATTGCTTCTTGCGACCGTTGACGGCTTAGCGGCGGTGCAAGGCAGCTCGGATGCTGAACAGCATCAGCCGTCATCCACGATGCTTTTCCAACGGTAGGGTACAGCACAGTAGTGCTTCGTTCCTACAGAAATAGCACGCCATGAGAAATATGACGCAGCGACATGGACGCATGGCACTGATTTTACCTTTCGACTTGGCCCAAGCAAGGAATCCAGTCGAGACGTGAGCGAAGCGGACGTTACTTCTTCCTTCTCTGCTGCTCCCGCCGCCTGCACTTTTAGTTGATATGGACTCTTCTTCTCCAGACGCATTGCTTGCAGGTGACCTTTCAGCGCAGTCATCGCTGCTTTCTCCGTTGCAAGTGGAACGTCCTTTTCCTCTACTTTTTCGGTTGTCAGTGAGCGTTCATACTCCAGATACTCAAGCTCTTCCGCTTCCATGCCGTCTAAAATTGCGTCAAAAAGCTTAAATCCAGCCACAGCTTGCTGAAAGCAGACCACAGAAGACGCTCACCATGAGAAAATTTTACAATGCACTCTGCTGTAAGGCATTCAACGTACCTTTCGCACCCACTTGCTCTCCTTGCTATATCGCGGCAGCTTGTAGTCATGGTGTGCAGTGATCACCTTGGAACAGAGTCTACAATGCTCCACATGTACGAGAAATAGTGAGCAATTGTCCATCTCCCGGTCAAATCCTAGTCGTTTCTCGAGCCGGCATGTCACCTACTTGATAAACTTGGCGAGAAACACGTATCTGCAGCATTTTCACCAACAAAGTCATTAATACATAAAGTGCACGAAGCAATAATACACAAAGTCAACGATCGCCTCGGCTATGTCAGCAGCTACTTTTATATACTACACAAGAATAAGAAAAAAATAGAACCTCGAGGCTCTAGAGCCACGACACCTACGCGTTATCCCAAGCGCCCTCTGCAAAGTACGTCTCAGACTGACGGTAGAGCTGCCTTGCCATCTGGTAGTAGCTCTGTAGTCGCAATTGCTGCTTCACGGGGTCCACGTGACACAATAGCGCCAGGTGCGTCCGTCGCGCGACCAGCCGCTCGCTGACGTCCATCCTGCTGCGACGGCTCGTTTCTGTGTCGTTCGAACGGTCTATAGAAATTCGAACTTGATCGGAGAAAAATAGAAACCCTCTGTTTTTTCTGCATCATAAGTCGTAGAGCCCTAGGAAAGGCTCGAAAAGATCATGTCGACGAAACAACAGACGAGCGTGAGTAACATGCAGCAGCGCGGTGTCGAGTGAGTGAAGAGACGCGGAACGTTTCGAATCGAAGCATAATATGTGACATGCCACTGACTTTCGTGCCTTGATTGTGTTTCTATGGACTGCAGCAATCGTGCGCACAACCATATGGTGCTCAGGAAGCTGGCGCTGTTCTCGCTTTTGATGGTCATCGTGCCTTTGAGCACGTTTTATACTGTTCGTAGCCTTTTTCGACCAGGTAAATGAGTGTGGTATAGTCTGCCGAGAATGGGTGTATTTGCTCGGATCAATTGTGGCTGAAACTTGTGTGTGCAAAGGAGAGCCGGGCAGTCAGTACGCGGACGTATGGAGGTCCGAGAGTATTCATGAGCTTTCATTCTTCGACGCTGTGGCTATCTAATGAAGTGTGTGCTTATGTATTTTGAGTAGCGGATGTACGGCAGTGCTTTCTGTCAACATTGTCATTGGGCTTTACGTTCTGTCGGCGTGGAAAGAGGAAGACAAGAAACAAGTGACCCCGCTCGTGGGCCGGTTTGCCAAGCAGAAAGAGCAATAGACGACTATTTGTCACGATGAAATGCACACTCTTTGCTGTAGTGTTTGTTACGTATACATCGAAAAGAGTGGGCTCTGTAGCAGCGCGCAAATTAATCTCAATATCTGTTGGAATTATGGTGGGTAGAATTCCTGGGCGATGAAATGACAGCCACGTATGTGTGTGTACCTCGCAGTGCTTTGATTGAACACACGTATGGTTGGATTATATCGCACTTGTAAAGAGAAAGGCAGCAGTCATCTCACAGATTTAATTGTATGGCGTAACACAGACAGCACAGACACGCTGGTAGAGGATAATCATTTTGTTGTTAGACTGTTCGTGTACGAGCGATGTCAGCGGACTCCCACGAATAAGCTTCAAAGCACCTACAGCTGAGAAAACCCTGTAACCTAGGAGCAGAACCCTGTTACAATTGGACAAAGATCGAGCAAGAAGTCTATAATGAGGTCTTGTTTGGTGTCGTCACTTTTGACAACAGTGACTAAAACACCTTGCAAGTAGCAAGCTAAAGCTAATCCCAAGCGTTTGCCCTGGTAAGAGCTACTTGTGCGCTCAAGTGTGTCATTACATGTTGTTAGCTGTTGACCCCGAAATGATAATTGAACTGCTAAAAAGCTTGGTAGCATCGCTAATAGACTGTACTACATATTCATGGCATATCTAAAGGCTCCGCCAAACGTAGCTAGGTAGCAACTATCAGTGTTAGATTGTCATAATTATGCTGCATGCACCTCACCACGTATTACAGCAACGTCTCACCTCGAAGAAGCAAGGGAACAATCAGTTGAGCTGACCTGTGATGATGCGTTTGCGCGGCTTACTACGAAGTTAAATCCGCATGTCTACGCCTGGAAGCTAATTTGATACCTTTGCGATCAGAAAACTGCAGCTTGTGCCAGCGTGCTTCGATTACTGCATTAACCTATCCGTCTGAATGCATCTGCGAAGAATAGACGTACCTGTGATCCAGTATTTTCTCTGCTATAAAATCTGCATTGGACAGTGTCCAATACAGTTTAAGACGAACGCGAGCTCCCTTGCCGCCGCCTGCATTTATGCCGAGCTGTTCCGATCATCTACAATGTGCATGGTTTTCCGTAAAGTGGAGATGCTCCTTCATCAGAATGGCTCGTGGTGGCATGACTGAAGCTGGATCAATAGCGCTCGTATGCTGCGAGGTTTAGATAGAGTATGTTGGATGTACAAGGATGAGCTCCATCCTATAAGATGTCTTCAATATCATTGCGTTTCACCAAAGAAGTGATATTTTTCGATCTCAATTGCCTTGTTAGTAGTCCTTACTGAAACGTTTGCATGGACGATGATCAAAGCAGCACATTGGTCAGACAGTGAATTCACTAGGTGATAGGCCCGCACGCTACAAGCGAAGGTTTCGTCATCTTCATACATTTGTTATTAAATACAAGAAAGGTATCTGAAGTTTTGACAGTACTGGTATGTATGTTCTATCGCCGGCGCTATCATTGATCGGTTTGTGGCTTAACAAAACTGAAACACATGACATGAATCTTCACGTAAGCTTCAGAGTTGCATGCCCTGGTAAGCCAATTCGTCTACATGACTCGCGCTGTTAAATATAATTTTTCGGGCAATTGACAACATTCCCAAATACGAAAACCCCGAGTAGTCTACCTCGTGTTTTAGACTGCTTGACGCTCATGTCTCAAATCTTCACAAGTTTTCTTTTACGTGGCTCTTGACACAAACCTACGCACACGGCTTATTCGTATGACATTACATCAACATGGGCAACAGAATATTATTACTTCACTCAGGCCTTACATCGACCTATCAGGATATTGACTCGTAAAGCGTTTCTCTCGATTATCAGCAACAAGTTCACCACCGACCTCGTTTCCTCGCTACGATAAGTGAAGCTGCAACCACGCAGCTTTAACATCGAGCGTCTTACGTACGCCTATTGTCGTCCTGACCCTGGCTACTCAATCAGATCGCCAAATCACGGGAACTTCATCAGTACGAAACCTGAAGCAGCAAGCGGCAACTTCCGTCATTAGCTTGTAAGTTCCTCACGACCGCAAGATATTACAACGTACCTTTGAGTGCACGTAGCCTCCTCCAGTGGTGTCGTGTCCCCATATTGAAATTGTAAGACCCCAGCTTGAGCAATCATCGCACCGTTATCGATACAATAACGATGGTCCATTGCACACACGCGACCATTACGCTCCTTCGCCATGATGCCCATCATTTCTTGCAGTCGCAAGTTGCCTACGAGCGATGACAAAAGCAGCAGTGAGTTTGACCGATCACAAGTTGAGTGTACTCCTATCGCTTCCGACAACGGCAACGACGATACAGATTTACATACATCCCACGCCACCGACAATGAGCACCTCTGACTGTCCACAGTGTGCCATCGCACGTTCCGTAATTTCCACCTGACACAGTTGTCAAGAGCGTGCGGTCAACAACTAGTCATTTGTTTTAGTAGAGCAGCCAGTCCACAAGCTGACAAAAGACGCACAAGCATCGCAAAAATCGTTTCTTGCAACGAGTAGCACAAGTCTGCTTTTGTACATTCGCCAGATTGAATCTTGGTGCTGTAGATACGACATACATGGTCAGACTTGCACATAACAAACCGCGGCACGACAACAACAGCGTACTCAGCCTCTTTCTCGACGAACGTCGAGATGCCCGAGAACGACACATCCATGCCTTTCACGATATACGGCAGTTCAATGAACTTTTTGCCTCTAAATTAATTCACAACACTCCGGATTAAACGATTACACCAACAACAAGTGCCACATGACAATAAAAGCACTCACTCTCTCGCCAACACTTCAATGTTGTATCCGGGACTCGGATCATTCGAAAGCTTTAGCACTCGCGCAAATCGGTCCAAGCAATTTCCGACAGCAATATCAATTGTCTCGCCAAAGATGCGGTAGCTGCACATTGCACTTCATTAGCTCTGGTGCTTCACTTGCTATCCACAATTGTCCAGCAAGAGCCTCACCACTGCATCGAGTAGGCAATGACTTGCGTATTACCACCACTGACGTACAACACGACTGGGTTCGTCGTCTTGGCCACTGTCCTGCCCATCTCGATATCTGCTCGAAACGTTTGCAGCCACAAACGCGTCAGATCACTGGTGACTTGTACTCTGCAAAACCAGTCAAACTCCGTGTATCCAGGAGCTGGACAATAGCGTACGTCCAACGCAATGATTGACGCCCACGAGCGGTTTCTTCCACAGTAACGACAACATGCGCGCGCACACAGCCGCCGAGCGCAGCGGACCACCCATGCCTGGACCTTTTGTGTAGCAAATGCAGTCGAGCTCGTCTGGAGAGACGTTAGCCTCTACTAGCGCTGCCCGAACAATAGCCACAACGTGGTTCTGGTGATGCCACGCCGTCTCACGCGGCAGGAATCCGTGGCCTGGAGGTGTGATGTACGTCTTGCGAGGGTTGGACAGGATCTCGGTCTCGCCATTCGTTCGGTACCAGAGTATCCCCACAGCCAGTTTATTCGCACTGCCCTCGATGCCCATAGCCAGCACATGACCGTCTTTTCGCATGACTGTTTGGCACGATCGATAATATTTGGTGGTTTACACGGAGTTTCATTGGTCAGAAAGGAGTAACTGGTTTAGAGAATAAATGACCTCGTCGCTGCTGAGATATGCTGTGTGAGAGGATCAAGACAAGACCTGACGGAAAAATGACAGCGGTGCAGCACGTGATGGCGTTCCTCGCTCTGTGCCAGTCTGTTGCGGTAGGCGCAGACTTTCAACAGTGTATGGGTTGATCATGGAATCGATGCTTTTACAATGCCGCTTTGCATGGAGCTCTTTAGCACGCACCAGTCTGGAGTGAACGAGCTTAATTAGAAGCTCCACGGTGCGAACAAGGCTGTGAGTATTGTATCTGCTTAGAAACAACCTGCTAGAAAGGCCGGGAGAAGCTCAAAAGTCGGTTTGATAGTGCAGCTTGCACCACTCTATGACTTGCTACAGCGGTCGTGGCTGAATACAACGACAGGTGCGTCGAGAGTTGATCGTGTGGCCACCGTTTGCGGCGAATCGCAGCTATATCAAAGTAAATATTGTTCACGATCACATGTATCTTGTGCCAGAAGCTGCAATTTTGATGTATCGAGAGTAGAGTTCTACAGCATTATTTCGACACTTGACGTTGGTGTTGGCTGGAACATGGAGAGCTACAAACGTCACGTGCTGTCGGGTGAGTTGTTGTCCCTCAGGCAGACGGGATTGTACCAATTGATGCAACTGTCTATATTTTTCAAATGATATAGACGACAAAAGAGCACAGATTGTGGCGGGACACACTAGTGACCAAGTCTACGGCAGCAAAGTTGCGATGTCTGAGTTTGTCGCGCGTGGTGCTCCCTTCAAGCTAGACGTGGATGAATCAGCGTCATGGACACGCACTTCAATTGGTGCGGCTTCTGTTTTTGTTTCTACTACGCCTTGGACCGGGCTTGCATCAACACAAACGCCTACAAATTGGCTGCGTTTCGGTTTCTGGTACAAAAGGAAAGGCACCTTGAGGCAAGGTCTTCCCCACGTTCAACGGGAACCGACGGACCGACACTTCAATCGAGAGCCGAAACGAAGAGTAATTTGGTTCAGCGATATGGCATCAATGCTCGACGTGATTTCAAATAAGGCTATCTACGATTACCAACCATAACTACTGTATTTTCTTGTCGATTACGTTTTGTTGAATATACCAAAGTAAATCAGCAGCACGATGGCGATAATGATGAAACTGGCTGCGATCGACAAAGCCATCCTCTGGCGTTTGTTACGAGCAGCCATTCGACTCACGATATTTCCTCCGCGACGAGCCATCTCATTCACTCCTTTCACTTTTGCGTGTGTAGCTTCGATCTTCTCGCGGTTTCGGCCAAGATCATCGCTAATGGCAAGCGCTATCATCATTTTCACATCAAGAACAAGAGTTAGTATCCGCATGAACTGCACCCTACTGTGATGATCTGCCATAAAATCCATAAAAAGCGCACCAACTTCCTCCGTGTCCGCTATCTCTTTCCGTGCGGCTGTCAGCTTGTCTGTCGTGCCCTTCATTCTGCACAACACAAGCACCCAAGCAATGCCACATCAGTTGCTACATAAATGACCACAAAACAACTACCAGCATACTTGTTCGTGGCAGCAGAAAGTCGACTACGGTGGTCATCGGAAGTCTGCATCATCAAACAAAAGGGGTGATTTACAGTGAGAGGGGGAAATTCTCGGGCAAGCGCTGTAAATTTGGCAGCTTCTCTCGCGTACCGCCTCGCAGTCCCGATCACCAAACAGCCCGTCACGTTCTTCATTTTCGCGAATTTTATTGTGCTGGGCCGATAACGATGCCAGGCTTTTCTTGTACTGGTCCACCTTCTTCGATAGGTCCCGACGGGTCGCGGTGTCCAGACTCCTCACCTCCAGCTCCATCTGCTGAATCTACCGGAATGACACACGACAGCGTTACATGTCATCGTCTTCAAATTTGCTAAAGTATACAAATGTCCTACCAGCTGCGTGGCTTGGGTTAACAGGTCGCCCACGTGCACGATACTCGACTTCTTCTTGTCTATCCCAGTAGCAGCAGCAGCAATGAGAGTTGAGGGCTAAACATCATCTTTATACATGCGTTGCAGGCAGAATAAGACGCCCAACCTCTCTGCTCGTCATATGATGCGATCTCGCGCAGCTTCGTGGAGATGTCGGTCGTTAAAGTGCGGTACTCTTCGTCATAGCCATCGAAGATAGTCGTCATGCTCTGAGGCTTTTCGTCCTGCGCGACTAATTACCGGCTTTTTCTTTCGGACAATTTTTCACCGGTATATCGACCCGATGTGTGGTTATCAATGTGGTGCACCTGAACGACGATAACCTGTGGCTCCAAATATCAGGGCCTAGTTGCTCGGCCAGAAAAAGAGGCAGCAGAAATACGCGTGTCAAGCTACGGCCACTTCACAATTTGGATACAAAGTGTCAAGGTCTTTCGATTGACTGGATCAGACAGCACAAGATGCGTCATACAGGAGCTCGATTGCTAGCTCTTCTACTCGTGGCTCTGACGGTACTAGCAGCTGCTGCCACAGCAGAACCAGAGCCGAAGGAAGTGACGGCCGACATGGACGGCGATCTGCTGGTTCAGGACGAAGAGACGCTCGAAGCAGCCGACGCTTTGGACGGAACAGAAGGAGCCGGTTCCGACTCGGAACTCGACCCGCGTCTGACGCTTGAGGCCATGGAGAAGATCTTTGCCAAGTTATCGGCCAGGTGTCTCTTGGAGCTCCATGAAAAGTCGTCGGACCTTTCTAAGGTGTCCGATCGCTGTCGCATGGAAGTGGCGAGTCGCGTTCAGCGCTATTTGGCGCGTCTGGACAAGGAGGACAAGGGAGAGGCTGAAGAAGAGGAGGAAGAGCAGAAGAAGAAGAAGAAGACGGATGCGAAATCGCAGAAGAAGAAGGGTCGCAAGGGCAGGAAGCAAACGCGTGCTCGGCGGGAGGCTGTGGCGGCTCAGAGGAAGCAGGAGGAGTACCAGAAGGCGCTGCGAGTCATTGTCGGCTTCGTTGTGACATTCGTGGCCATCATCGCCGGGGCCGTGTTAGTCATCAACCGCAAGCTGAAGGCTGCTGGACTGTACTATTCAGACCCTAATGCGAAGGCCACGTGCTGCAGCAACTAGGGAGGGGGTGCTTTTTGGCCCAGTTGTTGAGCTGAAGTTGCGAACGATATGCATTTTACACTTGCTGGTATTACATGTCTATAAGTCTTTGCTAAATACCGACGATATCTGCGCTCGTTTGTTCGTCCAAGTTACAAATCAAATTGACATCATTTGTGCTGTCACACGACCTCGGTGCTGCCGTGTGTCGAGCCGTTCTTGGCTTTGTCGACTGCTGATACAATGAGCGGCAAGATTTCACCATGCTTGACTCCATTCATCGCAACGCTTGGATGCACCGGATCATAGTGCTCAGTATGTCTCTCGGACAGGACAACTATGCCACCCACAGTCGAGACTATGCCGAAAGGGTAGACAATTTGCTGCCACCACGCATTCATGCCTGCAATCTCATGGAAAAAGACCACGCCCGAAATGGAGCCGATCAGAATCAGAAATGCCTGGTAGATTGCGACGAGGTAAAGCGCTTCGTACTCGCGCAAACCTCGGTCTAGCACGAAAATACCGCCGCCTGCTGACGACAGGGCTGCTGCAATGATAAGGTAAGTCTCTGGGTTCGACCAAACAGCTCCACCTTCGCCAAGCAGCTCAATCGAAGCCTACACTCACGACAACAGTCAGTCAGTCAGTCAAGCCTAGAAGATCAAGCACGTGTAGTGTCGGTGCCAATAGCGTACCTTCAGGAAGAAGAGATTGCCACCGATGAGACCCGATAGAGCACCAAATGCAAACCTCCTCCAACCGCTCTTCTGATGACATTTGCAAATGACCCACACCAACTGCAAGAAAGAAAAGCCTCAGCTCCAATCCGTTATCCAATGCACACTTGCCGAACGTACCGTCACAGCAGTACACACTGCGAAAACAGCGTACTCGACGAAGACGCGGCTTCGAAACAACGCAAAGAGCTCGGTACTGCAATGTGTCGGCGTGTCGTGACTTCCAGACAGACCAACCAGCAAACACCCCAGCAAAATGACTGCCGAGCCTCTCAAGTCTTGTACCGACAGCTTCTCATCCAGCAGAGATGGCGACAGGATGATGTTCCACACGACGCTGAAGCCGGCCATGGGCGCCAAGATTGACTAGTAATCACAAACAACAGAGCATAAATCACACAGACACAAGTCAGTGAACACGCCACAAAGACATTCATCAGTAGCATCGACAGTAGAAGCCACGGCCCTCACCTGCGCTGCGTACGCGTAGCTGATGGCGTCGAGCACCGGGTTAAGCAGGAACACGCACACGGTGGCCGCTGCCTTGACCCACAGCGCCTGCGACGACGTGTGCGACAGCTTCAGCAGCACTTTGCCCAGCGTCCCGAAGAGCGTGGCTGCGAGCGAGAGCGTCACGCCAATGATCCAGAGCGGAGGCTCCATGGTCGGTCGACTGGAAGCGGAAATAGCAGGAAGGTCACGCGTCGACACGTGTTCGAGGCCGAGCGGAAGAGAGCGACAAGTGCACGACCTGACGTTCGACTTGATCACTAGCAGTGTAGCCACTTTTCTGAGACCACCAGCTGTTCGGACGGTCGATCGATCGTCCACACGAACATGTCGCAGCGTAGGTGAGCTGACTATCGTGCTCGTCTGGTTAAAAATACATACAGGAGCAAGCTCTGGAGCTCGCTCTTTGATAAAGTAAGGCAGTCCATAGAACACAATTAACTTCTCTACATTCCCGTCCCCATTTGGGTAGTTGGCGGTGAGGAACCGGGTTGTGCGTTGTGCATTGAGAAATGAAAGTGCTGGTGTCTTGTGTGTAAAAGCTACTCATTCGATGTTGTTTGGTATTGAACGAGACGAATGTGAGAAAAGGAAGACGGTGGATGATGGTAACGCCGTCAACCCTAAAATGCGACCGACCTGATCTTGAGATAAGGGAGCAAGCTCTGGAGCCTGCCCGTTGATTGCGAGCCAAAAGGGTGAAGCTAGTAGTGAGTGTGCGCAAGGTTGAATGCCGAGCTTTTCAAATGTACTTATCTGTGTGTCAGTGTGTCTGTAAGTAACGCGGTCAAGTGTGCCTTATTCGTACAAATACGATCGAGCCTGCCCCTCCACAGTTCGATTAGCATGATAGGTGTCACTCTATGGCTAGGTCATTATGTGACGCACGCATCTGATTGGCTTAAAATCGATCAAAGATGGATATGGCCACATTAGCAAATGCTGGACGTTCGTAGACAAAGGCCGATCACGTTGCCCAAGTATACTAAACTGTGTTGCTACAGACACTAACAGCACCGTACTCTTCTTTATTGATTGCTGTTGAATATCGTTTCGCAACTCGATTCGAACTGGATTACCTATATCAAAGGGCGAGCTCCATAGCTTGCTTCCCTATCTTTGATCTAGTCATACAGTTGCACCACAACGCAACCTACCCATGAGTTAAAGATGTGCGACATCGTAGTTTGTGCGAGATGTAAGGTGCACCCAACGTTATCTACAGATATACACACTAAAGGAAGTGATCGAAGTTTGGCAAAATGCACAGTAAATTTATTTCAGTCATCAGTTCACAACCTCCTGTTGCTACTCTAAGCCTACGGAATTCTTTCCGATTCTAGGCTAGTAGTCGTCTTGTCGTGCATTACTATCGTCTCGTCGTGCATTACTATCGTCCCGTCGTACGTCTTTAACATGGGGGACGTCATTGTCTGGCAGGACAGTACTGGTGAACCCCGGCACACCAGTACCCAAAGATTTTAACTTTATGTTGCAGTCACTAGATGTTAAACCAGTAAGCCCTCCCATTGTTACTGCCACACCAAACCACTTGAGCTACAAGTTCTTGTGCGAGATCGCATGCCGAGGCGCATCTCTGACAACAACACAGACATGCACATAGACACACACTCAGGCAGAAATTCGGTTGCAAAAGTCCGGTGGTTACTTTGTGTACGGTCACTAATGGCTTCAATGATGTCTGTCCATCTACGGTGTGGTTACAGCACAACATTGCACCGTAGTGTCCGTAGCAGAAGCGTAGATATCTGGTGAAAACTGGTAAGCTCCTTGGATGCAGTAGTGGGATCGAAACGCACCAAGTGACCCCTAGTCCTCAAAAGGCCAAGCGTCTGCAAGATTTTTGACGAAGACGTCATCGCTCAGGGGCATCACCTTGCCACCGTTCCATCTCGCACGATTGAGCGCACAACGAGCTGCGTCCGGCAACTGGGTCCACGAGATCAGGGTCTGGGGCTCGCAACCACCCAAAGTAGTCAATTTGACAAAGTGCCCGTTTCCCCCCATTAAGTTGTAGTCGAGTTTGATGCCTTCCCCGGCCATGACGTCCTCTCGAGGTTTCAGCGTTTTCTCCAAACCTTCGGGGCCCCACGTCGACACTGCCTCAATCCCGTTCTCCAGGTGTTCTGGGTTGTTGATCCAAATCACGAAATAGATCCACTGGTGACGCGTGCCAAACCCGGAGCCGGACGAGTCTTTTGGCTCGTATATTGCGTAAGCAAGAGCCCACTTCTCGCGATACCACCCTGAACGCGAGTAAGTTTGATTCCCCATCTCGGATCGCTTGCAGCTGCCATCAACCGCTCCCGTGGGATTGAGACCGCTGCCAGTTCGACCAATTTCGTCTACAGCGGGAAACGAATGGCATCCGTCAGACCAGAAGAATGACGGGTTGAAGAAGTCGGCCGCCTTCTCGCTGATGCTTTTAGGCGGCTCCGGGACTATCGCATTCACCTCATTGTGCTTGACCCAATTATGCCCACACTCTTCGGAGCTCGAAACTGGGGCCGACACTGCGAGCAGAGTGGCACACGAGAAGATGCCTATCTTCATATTTGCTTGATCGTCTCGTCTTTCGATGGGAGAATTGCTGAATGAGCAAAAGCTGCATTGCTGGAGGCAAACAAACTCACCGACATAGCTCACGTAGCGGCTCTCTTCTGGAACGTGTAACATACCCTGTACGGTTCTACGAACTGCAACAGCATGCCACACAGTACGTGGATGTCGCATCACGACCCCATGTGAACTGTAGAGAGCGCGCTTCACACAGTACTCGAAATTGTAAAGATGATGTTACACATCCCAGATGGAAATTACCCGTTTATGGTTCGCACGCTCTTTTTGCAGTTCAAGAAGTCAGAGAGAGTCTCGTACACATCACAAGAGGGGAACGCACATGTGAACTGGAACGTGCCATTTGCGGCTCATACAACTGCAAATGCATGTTTTACGTCACAGAGGACGATCGCCCGTTTGAAGAGAGCACGCTCTTTCTCCCCCACGGAATTGTAAAAAAAGCACACTGCGTTTGCGTACTGTGTGACACACTGGATGTAGCACTCTGCAGTTCATTGTGTAGGAATATGCATACCACACATCACCGTAGTGAATCGCGCATCGAAGGCGTAGCGCGCCCACTACAACCAGTAGATTGCGCCTGCGCTTGAGACAATACATTCTCGTGACCACATAAATTCTGCATGAGTAATGATGCTGCTTGCTCAAGATCGTCACAACAGCTTGACGATCGAGCGACTACTGTACTAGTTGATCGTGTAGCGTATTGAGCGAACATATCGGGTTTTGGATCAAGACTTCAGCGAGAGCTTTACCGAGCAACACGTTGCAGCGGAATTGTCGTGCAAATAGACGCATGCTCAACGGACCTAATTACTGCCTCCACATGTAACTGGATCACGCGATTACATCGAGCACGACCGAAGAAGGCAGTTCCAATCCTGTCATGCAGTTCAGATTCTAGGCAATCACCCCATTTTAGCGATGGTATCCAGCTGCGCCACAGCGTCGATTGAGCCAGACGACTTTGCAACAGCGGCGACAGGGATATGCAGTTGTTAGACGGCGTCTGTTGAGCCATACGACTGCACCATAGCGTCAAGAGAGGCCGCAGCAATATCTGATGTTAAACCAGCCGGCCTGAGAAAACAAGCGCGTCACATTTATCAAGTTCTAGCAATATTTACTTAAATTATGCATGCCAATTCGTACAACTTGACTGCCATATAGATCGATTTCTACCAGCACTATTTTCTATCGAGTACACACAACTTTTACCACAGCTGTAAGCAAATTCTACATGTACTTGGCCTCTAGCAACTAAATCACCACTGTGCACTAGCGCTACTTTTACAACTGAAGGTGAACCTTACGTCATCATTTATAGCTAGTTGATAAGAGCGTAGCGCAAGACACGGACGTTTTTATTGGACTTGGAAGTCCGATGTAGCAATACCAACTGCATACCCTTAATCATGATAACAAGAAAAGGCAGTGGCAGCAAGTCCTTGATGTCCTCGCCGGCCGAGCTCCTATCAATGCATGCGCGACTGAATCGCGAAATGTTACCTGCTACCCGGAAAGGGTTCCCAGTGCGAGATTTCAGGTGCGCAATCGGCAACGGCTTTTTATTTGACCGACGATGCTCTAAGCCTCTGAGTTGTGACATGTGTTTTAGGGTAAGCGCCACGGCACTGCAAACGTTTGCATCGGAGCCACGTGCATGGTGATACATTAGCGCACCTTGATCTACAGACGAGACAAGGCTAAAGGTTGGCTAGACCCGGCGGCTGCTGTTGAACATGACGATGCGCCCATGGAGGACAAAATTGTTACTTTGTGACAAACTTCTTGTCTGTCGCGAGGTTCCGTTACATGTATCTGATTGTCTCCCGTTACAAGCGGACTCGTACAAAGCTGTCGAGAATCCATCTCCTCTTTTGATTGTAATGAGCATTTGTCTTAAGGGTACATTTGCAGGCTTCTAGTCAAGGCGTATGTCAGTGAGTGGTATGTGGTGATCTTTGAGCGACAAATTAATTGTGTACGCCACTCTGGACCCTGTACAGCAGAGCTATAAATCGGCGCATGCTGCACCCCCCATAAGCTAAAAAACTTGGGCGTCAGTGTGGGGCCCAGTTAAAAACTCTGCTATACAATGCTAGCGGAGATGAAAGGATGAATTTGTTTTGGAAAATGTTATACGCACCGGTCGCGAGTGGGTCATTGTTACCGGCGATTTGTTTTGGCTGATCAAAAATATGACATCTAATCTTAATTTGATGTACCCAATCTAATTCTGATGATACAGTGCTAATTTTAACATGTCTACCCCACCTCGAGATTGAATTTGTATCTGCTGTAATGACGTTTGCCGTCACACGATGAACTACGAAGACTGAGATAATGGAGAAGACGCAGAGAATAGTAAATCGTAACACTCATCAACAAACTTATTTTGGCTCCATGATGTGATATTATACCTGCATAATACACTGCATTAACACCTATTTGTTTCTTTGCTTTCCTTTTTTGAGGAGGAAGCCAGAGAGAGTCCACAGCAATCAAATATTCGCCAAGGAATGACTATTATTCTTCATTCTTTGACGCTGATTTCACTGATGCTGGCTGCATTAATGGTATAGGCGGCTTTGTCGTCGGCGTCATTGTAAGTGAAGTTTTTGCTTTCGATTTTGCTTTTATCCGTATCAATGGTAAAATATGACTTACATGCGTGTGTTGCGCGTGTTTCACAAACAGGTCTATCAATTTTTCACATGGAAAGCATTCACCACGATGCTGATTTGGTCAATTTTGCAGTACAATGACATGATCTATTTATGGCATGGATATACAAGTGCAGTGCACCTTTCTAGAAAATTACTGCGCCAAGGTATTCACTAAATGGATGCTTTACTGAGAAATGTTTATTTACCGTGCTCTCTTACTTCCTCTTCGTAGCCCATTGCCTGTCGGCAAGCGCCATCACAGCAAAAGCGATCCAATTAGTTGGAATATGGATGCGCATCTCACATTTAGATTGGTATCATCAGCATCATATTGGGTATAACATCAATTATTTGGAAGTCGATATTAATTGACCAAGCCTAATCGCCGGTACAAGGACCCTCCCGCGACTAGTAGGTTTAACCTTTCCCTCATTTTTTGTTAAATTTTCAAATTCAAAAACATCCTAATTTTCACTAAATACAGTTCATATACCACGCCCATACCACATCACAATATGCTTTGTACGAAAAATATCGCGCCACCATATTTTTGTACGACCACGATCGCACATAAAAAGTCTACACCGGTCGTGCAAATGTTAAGTAATTTATTAAACAAACTCCAATAGCACGCAATGGATTACTGAAACTCTTTGCTTTCGTAAAGGACTTAGTCGACGACCACAGTGGGCTGATCACTATATGTCGGACACGTCTGTGTCGTTTTAAAATTGGTCAGAAATGACAACAGATAGATAATAATCAAGAAGGTACAAAAATGAAAGGTTTACGCTTCATTGAGCAAAATTCTATCATAAGTCGTACCGAGATTACCGTTCAAAAAAGGTAATTGTTTTAGGGAGTTGTGGGATTTGGGATCCTAAATAACAAGCAAATCGTTTAACAAATCCAGTGAATAGCCTACAAGCGTGAAACAGACTATCAACATGGGGTACAAAGTAGCCTGCTTAGATAGAAATAATTAGATGATCAGAAAAGCTACGAAAAAAATCGAAATATAATGAAGATTTGCCTTAGTAGCCGCGCAATGTATACTTCTACGAGCGTGAAGGGTATCAGCCCAACAAGAATATGAGCAACTACTACCGAAAAGCTTCCTGCACAACAAAACCAAACGTATCAATATTAACGGCAATAAAGCATTTGATGAGAATCATGCAGCCTGGGAGCCTCAGTAATATTGGTAAAAATGGTCGTCAAAGGAGTACAGCTGTCGATCGTGATTCTACCTACACCTGCTTAGTGGACTTAAGCAAGCAGGTGAGGGTGTTCAGCATGGTTGTACAAATGATGTTGTGCGTCCTAGTCTACTTTTTGTATTTATAAAAAGGCAAATAGGTACGTAAGCACCGCCCATCGTTTTGTTGGCCTCTGTTTGAGACGGTTTTTTGGATTGTCGGGTGTGATGGTGTTGACTCCTTGCGCACAGCGCATCTACACCTTCCTTGAACTTGGAGAATGACCCCATTTATCCGAGATTTATACAGCAATCGCAAAGCCATACTCCCATGCATACCAGTGTACCAATTCCTTTTACCAGCTCTAAGCTGGCATACATTTCTGCAGGAAGCGGACTGAAGGGAGACCGACTAGTGAGGCTAATTATGGTTCTTATATGGGATGGGTATCTAATTAAGGGTGTATGGAAGCAATGATGTAAAAACATGCGAATTGGCTGCTGTCATTTAAATATGAGGAAAGCTGAAAGAATAAATTTTGCTGCTGGAGGCGGTTCACAATCTTGAAGGCTATCCACTTATTTTGCATATAACTACTTGTTTTTCAGCGAGTTACTGTTTTTTATGACCCCCGTTGTTGATTGAACTCCCAACATCCTTTCGAGCATTCAATTAGCCTACAGATGGCCCCGGCTTCCACCCGCAGCAGCATGTCCGTAGCCTAGATTTAGCGTGAATTTAGGTCAGCGACCTAACGATGCAACGTGTTCGATATCGTGCTGTGTACAAGCCATTCACTTTTAGATAGCATGCTCTGAACAGAGCGAATAGATACCAGCAAGTCGTGGCTTCTTGTTGGAATTCGTGTCGCTATTTTTTGTTGTTGTCGTGGTTTTGAACGGCATGTGCCGCTGATATTTGTCCAACAATACAATCGTTTTTTTATTACATTATACGTATAGTTTGTACGCCAAAATCTACGGTATTACTTGTCGCAGTGGCCAAAGCAGTTTTGTACGTGGGGTCCATTAAAAGTCTACGAAATTGCGATTTTTAACACACAAAGGTTACCAATAAAATACATCGCATATCTAAACAACACCCG